AACTGAGTCTGCCTGCCTTGGACAGTCCTCAGTCTCTGGAAGCTTTGGGAAAAGAATTTGCCCAACTGTTGTGACAAAAGTCATGCTTCAAAATTAGTTTCCTTCCTGGTCCATTCTCTACCCATCCTTCCAACAGACCCTTACTTAGTTGTTATTTCCCTAACTTGGAAAAGACATGCTCTGGGCCATGTAAGATTTACAAACTTAGAGAAGTAAGCAGGGTAATTAATGAGGGCTGTTTCACCATGTCCTTCAGAAGAGCTCTGCTTGCTAAACGACACCCTTCATGTTTTCCACATTGGTTCAAAGACAGTTTTCTAGAGGTGGTGTTCACAGTCCTTGATAGTCACCTTAGAGTGATTGAAAGAATTCAGGCCTGGGTTTTTCAGACAGATCACCATTCTTCTCTCTCTCAGAGCATTGGTGATGTCTAACTGCTGCAGTAGAGGTGAAAACAATCTCTCACATAGCATGATTCGATATCAAGTGGGAGAGACCAGAGAAGTTCTATTGGAATAAGGAAATAAATAACCACAGAGATAAAAAAAAAAAAAAAAAAACTTACGGGAAATGTGCCCAGCGATTATGATAACAGATCGTGTCCACTTACAGACCTGAATGTGCTTAAGATCTATACAAAGTCTTCCAAAGTGCAGAACAGAGTGCAGTGAGTACCAAGACATATATTTAGTCAACAAACTCCTTAAGGGCCTTCTTCAGTTCATAACAAATGTTCTACCAGACCGAAGAACCCTTGTCAGCCTGGAGAAAGACAGGAGACAGCTTCAGGAGGTTTAAAAAAAAAAAGAAGAAAAATGGAACTGAGAGATAACATGGTGTATTTTTGACTGTGTGGAAACTTGTGTCAAATGGGTTTCAGTTTTATGTCATAAAGTTGAGAAGAAAGTTATATTAGGTTCTGTGCAAACAAAAAATAAATGCCAAAACAAAGTTTTGCCCTAGGAACAGAGAGTGGATAAAGGGAGAGAGAGAGAAAAAAAAAAGGAAATGGTATGGTATTGGCAGTGGACTGGTCTCCTTCCTTTTAGTTGCTATAACAAAATACCTGAAGCTCAGTACTTGGTAAGAGTTTACTGAACTTGCATTTTTTGAAAGTCCAAGATAGGGTAATCCCATCTGATCTGCTGCTGGTGTGGCCCTGTGAGCCACAGAATAGCAAGGAAGACAGTCAGGGTCATGAGTGAGGAAGAGAGCGTAGGCAGACACAGGAGCCAGGCTGCTTCACTGGGGACCCCTGAATGAACTAAGCTAATCTCCTCCGAGGACAATACTCCATAGTCCACACCCCCACCTCAGCTAGGACCCACTTCTTAAGGGTACAACCACCTTTTGCCTTTCCACACCCATTTTGAGGGCTTCACCCAAGCACACAGACCTTCGGGGGCCACAGGCAAACTATTCAAACCATGGAATACCCAAGGGGTCCTAGTGCTGGCAGCTGGTGAAGCTGCCAACCCTGGAGGCAACGCAGGAGCACTGGGTGGGGGGGGGCGGAGGACAGTGGGCTCTGGATGGGTCTTCAGAGTGGAGATATGCCATGACCAAGGGTGGACTCGAGAATGACAGTAGACAACATCAGTAAACACTTGCTGAAAACTCATAAGCACCCAAATCATGGGACTGTTATCCCTGGAAGGCATGGGCTTCTGGATTCTACCCACTCCCCATTCTCAGATCCCAGGCTGAAACTGAATCACAAATCAACTAGCCAGTGTGCCTTGTAAGAGGAAATGAACAGCTGCCCAAATGCAAAGCTTGGTCCCTGGAAGCAGGACTACGGGGCAGGAAGACGGGATGCTAAGTCTGAAGAGGGACGTTTTTCAGTTAAATTAAAATGAAGTAAAAAGACAAAATCAACCTAGATCACACTAAGACATTGCCATAGCAACGCCACAGGAACTCTCAAGTGAATGATCCACGAGGCTGATCCAGCTAGAACAAAGGTCCCTCAGTGGAGTTAATCCTACAGAGAAAGGCAATGGTGAGCTCCGCGGTGGTGTTTCAATACTGTTTATAGACTTGCTGAATCCACCTGAGTTCATCAATACCGGAACTATGGCTTTCTCAACTGTTCCGAGCCCTTCCCTCTCCACTGGGAGCACCCAGGTCTGCCACACGGGGGTCTGCTCTATTTCTCCTAGCTGGCTGGCCTACTCCAGCAGGCTCCATCCTCTCCACCTGGGTTGCCACCCAAGCCTGAAAGCTGTCCTAGGAATGTGGGGCAGCTTCCAGCGTCAGGACTGTGTGGGGGACAGGGGTCCCTTTGTTCTTCCCTCCTTACAAAGTCCTCTCCCCACCCCAGCCAGCCACTACAACACCCCTCCTCTCTCCCCAACTTCCCACAAAGTGAAAGACAAAGAGAGGCTTACTTTGGATCTCCTAAGCTGACTGTAGCACAAAAGAAACATGCTTCCTTTGCACAGCTTTGGTTTTAACCCCATTTGATTGAATTCAACACTTAAATACAGTCAGTGAGTTTTAAAAGAGAAAAAGTTACATAATTCTCTTTTTATTTTTTATGCATTTATTTTTTGAGACAGGGTCTCATGTAGTCCAGGCTGGACTCAAACTGGGTAAATACCTGAGGATGTCCTTGAACTTTTGATCCTATCTCCAGTTCCCCAGTGCTAGCATTATAAGTCTGTGGTGCCACAAGTGATTTGTTTGGTGTTGGGGACATAGTGCATGCTAGGCAAGTACTGTTGACTGAGATACATCCTTGCTACTTCCAGCTCCTCCACTATGCAGTTTTCTTTTCTTTTTAAACAGTGTCTCCTTTATGTGCAGGTGTGTGTGTGTGTGTGTGTGTGTGTGTGTGTGTGTGTGTGTTGTTCATGATCATGCAGTACCTGTAGATGTTACAAGAGGGAGTTGGAGCCCCCAGGTACTAGAGTTAGAAAAAGGTTGTGAGCCTCAGTATAAGTGCTGGGAAAAGAACCCCAGTCCCCTACAAGAGCAGTTAAATGTTCTTAGTTGATGAACCATCTCTCTCCCATAGCTGATTCTTAAAAGAATAATAACAAAGCCAAAACAAAACAAAAACCCATCAAACAGATCCAAGCTCTAACATTTTTTGTCAGTTATAATCAAATAAAAAATGACCCTGAAAATATACCAAAATTCATGAATCTTCATAAAATCCAGTCAGCCTAGTTATTATGTTCGTCTTTATGCAGCAATTCCTTAGGAAAACGTCGCTTGCCTAGTGTTCAAATGCAAGGTTGAAGATTATGGTGATACTAAGGTAAACTGTTACATCTTTGTTAGGACTCTGCCTGCTGACATAAAAAGAAAAAATAATCCAACCTGTGGGGTTTTTTTGTCTTTGTTTTTTGTTTGTTATTTTTCTCCCACCCAATTGTCACAACACCAATCCAGAAACAGGGAAAATGGCTAAAAGCCTGCAAACGAGGGTAGAGGGTAGAAGAGGTCAGCTGGGGTAGTTGGAAACAGCCAAAGCTGAGCCGTTGTACCTTGGCTTGGGCAAAGAGAACAGAACAGTCACAAAGGCTCCATGGCAGTGGGAGCTAGAAACCTGTCTCCCATGGACTATAGCTGTGAGGGATGGCCACGCCCCTTCCGGGAGTGACTTTTGTTCTCTCCGGAAGTCAAAGGAACGATGGGAATATGTCTTTTTGAAACTTTATCTAAGGATGAAACCGCCTACTTTTACTTGGACGACCTGGAATTTAACTATCCACTAGGTCCTAGAAGGGGCGAGGCGTCCCGCAGTAAATGCACTTGACTTTCACGATTTAGTTAAGGAGTCCAAAACACACACACCCAGTCATTGAGCCCCAGCTTAAAAAAAAAAAAAAAAAAGCTTTTCTTTTTTCGCTCTAAGTTTTAAGAAACCTCATTGAACGACAACACCTGGTCTAAACTGACAAGCTATTTATAGTTGATATCAATTCCCCTGGGAATATAGACACTACTCAGAGTGAAGAAATACTGGTGCCTGGGATAACAAAATATTCCCCAATAGAGCCAGAGTTGCCACAAGCAACCACATTCCAGTCTGTGAATACCCTTCTGAATTCTAAATGTAAACCTTATATTTTGAAAACTCCTAAATCCCCCCCACCCCCTGGTTCGCTGGGTAAGTTCTACTAAAAGGTCTTTGTTTAAAAAACCAAACCAAACCAGAGGGATCATACCTACATGTAGAATTATTAAATTTGGCCTTAAAATGACAAAAGAAACATTTTATGCAAACCAAGCAATAAAATAACATATCCTATCAATTTCACATCTCAAGGATGAAATATATTCCCAAAATATACTCCCTCTTTTTAATCCCAACGTAAAACATTTTTAAAATTTTCATTTTAAAGGCTTTTCAGAATTAAATCTGGCATATTTAAGCATTTCAAATACAGAATACAAGTCAATTTTTTGTTTTACTGCAAAATAATTTCCCTAACTCTATTAAAGCAAAATTATTGATTTGGACAGAACAAAATGACTTGGTGAAATTATTTCAACTGACAAATTTTATCACTTCAAACACCTGATATCTCGTAAGTATTTAAATCTTTTTTACTCAAATGTAAACGTATCCAGAGAGAGAGAGAGAGAGAGAGAGAGAGAGAGAGAGAGAGAGAGAGAGAGAGAGAGGAGACACCAAGGAACCAAGGTGTGGAAAAAACCCAGTAGAGAATTTTACTTTACTTTGCACACAATTTTGGTCAGCCAGGCAAAACTCAAACCATTCCCAAGAAAATGGGAAGCTGACCGACCTTCCCAATTCTTTCTACTCCACGGACTTTTAGAGAAGCAAGTCTCTTCTCAATGGTTTTTAGGTGAGGTTAAGTTTTGGGAGCCTTCTTGATTATATATATATATTCAAATGTACATTTGGGTGCCTAAAACAATCTCCAAGAATTTGGAGAGCGATTTCACAAAAGAGTCCACCAAGCAGACTTGTTGGTTTGGACAGGGGTTCAGAGTTTGGTGCAACTGTTCTTTCCCTCACCTACCGCATTTCAGAGGCTCAGGGACTCTGCATCGCTTCGGGGGCGCGCACGGTGGCAGTCCCGGGGTTCCCTGATCCTCCAGTTGAAGTGTGCAGCGGAGAGGCGGAGCTCCCGGCTCGGCCCCGCTGCCGGCCGCGCTCCCTGCGTCCCGGGCGTGCGCGTGTGCTCGCCAGGGTCCGGTCCCGCACACCGGGGCCAGGCGGGTCCGTGCTCAGCAGCAGCAGAGCGAAGCCGCGGCCCAGCCTGGACTAGCCGAGGTCTGTAGGGGAGGCCGGGACCCTGTGCTAAGGGTGGCGGGGCGGAGTGGCTTCTACCTGGGCAGGTGACCACGTCCTTCAATCCCTTCTCCTCCCCCCTCCTGTCCTCCTCCTGCTCCTCTTCCTCCGGCCTGGCGCGCAAGGGTCCCCGGTTCTCCCAGCTGCCCGCTTCCTCCGGGGAACTTCCTCAATACACCAGGGCAGTGCCCGCGCTTCCTCTGCCGCCCCGAACCTGAGCACCCCGCCCAGAACTCAGAAGAGTTGGGCAGCGCCCGGATCGGATCCGGGCTAGGAAGTACCCCAAGATCTAGTGTGGTAATACTCCGAACCCGAGCTAAAATGGAACAGCTCAGAATCAAGCCCGAGACAATTAAGACCCCGAATCTGGACGGAGACAGTAAATTAAATCGAGCCCGAGACAGCACCCGAACCTGAATCTGAGCTTCCAATGATATCCCCAAGTCAAGCCTCAACCAATTGTCACCCTGAACCTGACCTGAGCAGGGCAGCCTCGCGAACTGAGCTGGTCAGCACTGCTGGACCTGAGCTGGGCAAACTGAGCCAGGCAGCACCTCTAGACAACCCCCCCCCCCCCCGGCACAGCATATCCAGAGGAAGGTGTCATTCTCCAGATCTGGAAGTCCCAGGGATCAAGACCCCTCTATGCAGAAAGGAGGGTTTCCCAAGCTCAACCTAGTCCCCCATCCTTTCTCCTTCCACTACTGCTTGCCTAGCCCAAGGCTGAGACTGCTCTCTGTAGGAGTGTTTAATGTCAACAGGCCAAGATGTTCCTGCTGACATCATGCCCAGGCCTCTGAAACTTATGCCTGCACAGAAGCTGTTTCTGAGGTCATTCATTAGCTGTTGCCCACAGTCTGCTTCTTGAAGAATCCTGCCCTGCAGTTCTTGACATGTTTGGGGTTTTGTTTTCTGTTAGTCTGTTAACATTGTCAGATTCAAAAACATCACTTTTGTCAAACTCTAACCAACAATAAATAAATACAGCAAGTATACATAATATAAGTAAACAAACACAGTGAGATTCTAGACGTTGTTTGTGATAAATTATAGAGCAGTGTCCTGTCAAAACACAGAAACAGGGATGATGTAGGAGGTAAAGTGCTTGCATGCAATCAAAATGACCTGGGTTTGGTCCCCAGTACTTGTGTGAAAGCTTCCTGCAAGAGCGTGGGTCCAGCCAGTTCCCATGTTACTTACTATGAGTGGACACTGCCCTTATTAGTGCTCTTTGCAAACGCCTAGGGCCTGGCACACTCATTGTGCGATTAAAAGTCCCCCCCCCCCCCTGTCCTCTGTGACTATACTCCTAGTGTTCCGGTGTGCATATTTCCAATCCAGCACTCTGAGACTACCAAACGAGTTCGTCGTTTCTATAGAAACTGTGTGACTTTGTTTCGTTCTTTTTAGTTTAACCTTTTAATTTGTGTTTTAACTGATTAATGTCTGTGTGTGTGAAAGTTTGTGCTGTATGCTGGTGTGCACACATGTGCACACAAATGCATGTGGAGGCTGGAAGCTGACACTAGATTTCTCCCTTGGTTCCTTGCCACCTGACTTGTTGAAACAGGGTCTTTCACTGAACCTGGAGCATTCCTACTTCACTACACTTGCTGTGTACTGTGTATTTTACTGCATAGGCAGCAAACCTATGACTTCCACTGTCTCTGCCTCCTCCCGAGACCCTGTTTTTCACATGGGTGCTGGGAATCAAATTCAGGTCCTTGTGCTAGTATGGCAGGCACGTTCCCTATGGAGTCATCTCCCCACCCCCATTTGAGTGTTTTGACAGGAGGCTGCTCTTTGAAATTCCCCACAAACAGCCCCGAGCATCTCTTGGCAGCACTGATTATTCAAGTGTCTATGTTCAAAGCTGTGCCCTAAGCCCAATTGGAGTCATCCAGGCAATGTATTGGACTGTGATCACCACCAGAGAAAATGAAGGGATGCTGGCTGTTTATACTCACTGGGAGCCCCCCTCTGCCCTTTTCACTTAAAATGTTCATAGCTTTCCTTTTCATTCATTTTTGCCTTTAAATATTTTAACCCAAATGGAGGATTTTTATTGTTCTTCATCATTTATCATGGTTAATTATTTGTCAACATTAGACTTAGTTTTGTTTCAATGAACCAGCCAAATAGCCACTTTATCCTTAAAAGAGGGTGCAGAGTCTATAAGACTTTTCAAGGGTGTAGGTTTTTAATGAGAGTTCTCTAGGGAGAGATGAACAAACATCTATTCACCCCATACAGGAAATTGATAACAGACCAAAATAGCCATACCACCAAAATCCACTTTGGTGAACCAGTTGTATATTGGGACTAATTTTAGGAACACAGGTTGATGGGAGATGTAAATATGTTCTCTTATTGGTTAATGAATAAAGCACTGTTGGCAAATATGGAGGTAAGATAGGCGGGATTAGGAGACAAGGAGGATTCTGGGAGAGTAGTAGGAGGGTTAAGTTGTAGAGACTTGAGGGAAGAAATCCAGACCTTCTCCAGTAAGATAAGACCACCTTGAAACACTTGGATTAATAGAAATGGGTTAATATTTAAGACAGAGCTAGCCAATAAGAAACACTAGTAACAGGCCAACAGCTTTATATCTAATACAATATCTCTGTGTGTTATTTGGGGCTGACGAGGCTCTGGGACCAGGCTGGCTGGAAAAACTGCCTGTAACAACAGGTTTGGTGCTATTTACAGGAGCAAGAATGCCTCAGAGGCAGCTGAGTAATAAAGAGCCCAGCCTAGCCAACTACAACTCTCTGCAGCTTACTTTATGACTGGACTATAGCTCAACAAGTCTAAGAGTTTCTCTTCTAGGCAGCTTGTATGGTCTGCAAGTGTCTCTCAACACTCCTTGGTGCTTATATAACCTTGTATGATGGGAAGGGGCCTAGAGTAACCCGTTCACTTTCAGGAACTTCCTGAGGCTTCTGAATTTATTGCCTGAGTCTTACTTAGTGAGCTTCCCTTTAGGACATCCTGAGTTTTGATTACCTTCCCTCCAAGACTGGACATTTTATCTCAGAGGAAATTGCTACATGGCAGTAAGAAGATGTGGCATGGGACTTGGATCTGTGTGTGCAGAATAAACCCAGTCTTTTTCAACTGACCGTGTTTCTCTGAAGTTTCACTGAGTGGAGACAAGGTGACGTAATGGTCCTTTTCACCTCTGAGTCATCTTCAGTGCTGCTGACGTTAATCAACAAATACCTAGAAAAGCAAAATCAACATGTTCCCCGGTGTTTCTTCTCCTCAGATGTCATGATCTTCTGAGGACTGCCCAATAGGCTTCCTCCTTGTCACACCTGCACCCTTGTGACAGTGTGCTAGCCCTGAAAGCCATCTGATAATCTCTGTACCCGGGACTTCCCAGCACAGTAACTTAAAAAAATCCGTTTCTAGACTATGGGCTCTTTAATAAAACTTTAAAAATAGCAAGCACAGTACAACTGTCTTCAGTGCTGATTCTGACTCATGAAGTCGTTCCGAGTCTGGCAAATTTGTCCTAGTATTTCTGCTGGTCCTTGCTCATGGTGCCTCAATTCCTTGTGTTCTCAGTGGCATTCGACTGTGGGACACTCATCAGCCCTGAAATGGGTGAAGCCAGGAAGAAGGCATTTTCATTCAATAAGAAAGAGCTCTCATCTCTGGCAAAAACCTGGGTTCTAACTAGTCCTTGAATGTTTTTAAGGTACACGTTCAGCTTACATGTTTTAAGTAGGAAGGTGGTAAGAATTTCCAAGGTAAATCTGAGTACTATTTCCTTTAACTTATGGCTAAAGTTTCTCTGAGAGTGATTTATCTATTTATTGCTTTCTTTCTTTCTTCCTTCCTTCCTTCCTTCCTTCCTTCCTTCCTTCCTTCCTTCCTTCCTTCATTTCTTTCTTTCTATTTATTTTTTTTTTTGAGACAGGGTTTCTCTGTGTTGCCTTGGCTGTCCCGGAACTCACTGTAGACCAGACTGGTTTCAAACTCACAGAGATGCGCCTGCCTTTACCCCTCAAGTGCTGGGATCAAAGGCGTGTGCCATCACCACCTTGGATGCTCTAGGCCTCACAAGCTCATTTCCCTTTTTCCCACTATGTTAACAGATGTTAATTGGTTTGGTTATGGTAATTACTTCAGAAGCTCCACATTGCACATTGAAAATATACAACATTTTTGGCAATTAAACTTCAAGAAACCTGCAAATTTTTTAAATAAAACTTCACAGACAAAACTTAACCTTTTAAGTGCTGGAGAGACAGTCTGGCAGTTAAGAATGCTTGCTGTTCATGGCAGAGGACTGGGGTTAGAGTTCCCAGCAACCACACAGTGGCTCACAACTGTTGTTAGCTCTAATTCCATAGGTACTGCATGCAGGCAAAATACCCAAACATATTTTAAAAATCAAAAAATAATTTAACCTTCCCATAAAAGTAAATAAAGTGACTTGCCCACTTATATTTTCTTCTAATTGCTTTTTTTTTTTTAATACTTAGAACCTTCTTCCCTGAGATTCTTTTTAATTTGGTATATGATATGATATGTAAAACTAACAGTCATCTTCCAAATGAAGAAAACGAATCCAGTTTTTTACTCCTCTCTCTCCCCGTCCTGTGTGTGTGTGTGTGACCGTGTGTGTGAGTGCATGAGTGTGAGCATGTGTGTGAGTGTGTTGTGAGTGCATGAGTGTGTGTGTGTGTGAGTGTGTGTGTGATCATGGGCACGTACTCACATTGTATATGTGGAGTCAGTTCCCTCAGGATGTCAGGCATGTGGGGCAAGTGGCAATTGCTTTTACACAGTGAGACCTCTCACCAGTGCAGTGACAGCAGTTGTTATAAACAATCCTTCTGCTCCGAGCTGAGAGATGTTTCCTCATACATAACTCCAGTACTTACCACACACCCAGTCTGTCCCCAGTCTTGTTCCATTGACCAATCAGTGATTTTTTTTTTAATCAAAATCCTTTTTTTTTTTTTTTAAATAGTTACTTGTTGAAAGACAGCATTAAGAAAATGAGAGAAGAAAGAGACGAGGAACAGGACCCAAAATGACAACACTGCTGTACAAAATGTGCCAAGCACCA